ATTCAATAGTAAACCTTTCATAAAATGAAAATATGTAACACTCAAAAATTTGGAAGATTATCAGCATTATGTTTTTTTCTCATACTTACCAACGCTAGTAGACATAAAATACATAGGCCAATGTAAATTAATCATCCTAACACACTGTGTAATCTAAGATGTTCTTGGCTTCATCTGAAAGCAGCAAATATAAAATCCCTGATTTAAAAGCAGGGGAAAATTCACTATTTGTACACATATGTATTCACTAAGCATTCATTTTGATTGAATTTATTTCTACATATACATGAAAGCATAAATATTAATACTTCAATGTTTTAATCAAATGATAATTTCTGATTCAAGTCAAATTTAAAATAGTAAAATTTAAAGTAATCACTGAAGCAATTTTGTATTCTCTTACTTGGCATGCAAGCCCATTCAATTTAACTGCATTTACTTCTAAATTATTAAGATTTTCCTTCCTGTGAATTAATAATCATATGTCTGTTTGAAGAAGTCTTCTAAATTCTTGAATTCTTGGCAAAATTTCTGCAGTATAAAATCACTACCACACACATAAACTAGCAATCAGTTGATTTAAAAAATATATTTTTTTCTACCTGTGAAGAAGTGGAGTATTAATTATTTTACAATATTCTTCTTTGACTAATGTAGGCAGAAATACCGTGTCTACATTTTAAAACAGATTTTACATTAGCTTGATCAACAAAGTACTCTAAAATACACTTTGTGGCATTTTCTGTAATAAACTAATCTTCCTCATTTAAAGTACAATATTTGACAGGCATTTATATTTGGGGTATATTTTACTTATTGCACTACTAAGATTTTAAATTAATTTGTCAACCCTAGTATACATCTGGAGGCAAATTTCATGCCTCAATTAGTCTAATTTACATTGACTCTGTATTAGAAAACTCATGTCTTTCAGACAAGATCATGAGAGGGCTCGCTTCATTCAGCCATCCCTGGCATGCACGTTATGAGTTAGAAGAGTTGGTCAGTACAGTAAAACAGTAGAGTGGATATTTCACTGAAGGAAAAAAAAAAACTTTTGTTTATACTCCTAGTCCTGTGAGCCGTGGTGACACAGTGTTGCAGGCTTACTCTGCATTCCACTGCCAGCAGTTGGATCCTGACTGGCTTAAGGTTGACTCAGCCTTCCATCCTTCTGAGTTTGATAAGATGAGGACCCAAATTGTTGGAGGCAAAATGCTGACTCTGTAAACCGCTTAGAGAGGGCTGTAAAGCACTATGGAGTGGTATATAAGTCTAAATGCTATTGCTATTGATATTCCATCTCCCTCCTGCACCCCTTTTGGTGAGTTGCTTCTTGGTGTAAATAAATCAGAGTTTACCAGTATATCTGAATAGGCAAATTATGGTGATACTGATATCCTTAGAACTAGGATTAAAAACTACTGATATGTGTTTGTTCTTTAATAAAGCCCTCCAGAAGTCAAATGCATGTCAGGAAAAGCAGAGAAGACACACGTTCTTCTTGTATCTTGAGACTCTCCAGAAAAATACCTTTAATCTTCTCCTCCAAGTAGCAAATCAAAGGTGTGAGAGAAAACATATTACCACAAACACCAGTGGTAAAACAGATGACTACCTTATCTCAAAATAAATCAGGCAGCACTTTTTACCCTCTATACAACAATGCTAAAGAGGTGGCTTCTTGCATTGCTATGATTCAACTACCTAGCCATGCCTGCTTTTTATAAGAAAGTTGCCAACCATTAGGTTTACACTGCAAACATTTTCCTTAATTGAACTGAAAATATACCAACACATCTCAAGAATGAATGGCTTAAAGGGGCTACTTTTTTCAAGATTTGCATAGTACGTGAAACATTAAACATGTGATTTGATATTTAAAAACAAATGCACTATGGCGGATATCTATTACCTAAATTTCAATTCTGTTTTTTCACACTGAGTACTTAAGGTACGTAATGAAAATATAACATGGTATCATCATATAAAAATATTCCCATTATTGTTTTGACCTGGAAGAATAACTCAAGTTAATGCAAATTATTAATATCTTGCAGGAAGAAACAGAGGTGGTTCAATCTACACCCACTTGGTATATAGTTTACATGATTTGCTTCTCATCTCATACATCTCAAATTTGGCTCAATTTGCAAATTTAATATTATGAATCATGGTCTGGTCTGCAGGAAACAATTCTCTTCTACATTACTGTGAAATTGGTACCATTATATAGTAAACTGGAAAGAAACTAGCAGGCACATCTAGCTGGGGAAAGGTCCTCAGCTGAAGAAAAATAGGATTCCTTCAACAATCTGTTCCCTGCTGTGAGAGTACAATTGCTACAATTCTAGTAGCAGTAGGTGTCATCCCTTAGTGTTATGTGTGAGAGTGTGTAAGTGCTACAGCATGTACTTTTCTCAATTTGTTTCCTGATTCGCTAGTTATGTCAGGAAACCTCAATAATTTTGGCTTTCTTGTTTGTGGCATGTTTCTCCTGCCTTCTGCTATGGTTGAACAGTGCAGAATGAAACATTTCTTGAAATTTCCTCCATCTCCCCTGCCTCATCTTTCTCACAATGAGTTAAAAGTTCTTGTTCTCTGAGCACCTAGTCTTTTCTCCCACTGATTTGAATAGTGTGGTAAATTCTCACAAATTATTACTTATTTGTTTGCTATGTACATTAGTACTCCTCATAAGTTGTTGTCTTATTATTACCTTTATGCCAGAAATCAGTTAATAAATTGTATTGAATGGTTATTAATTTTAGGGTTATTCTTGGGCTTTGGGGCCATAGTTTAAAGGTCCCAACAAAAGAGGCAATGTGGGAAATCCTAGTTCATAATAACTGAAAAAATATCAGTAGGTACAAGGTTGCAATTACTGAATGTCACTTTGAATGTCCTTTCTATCCACTATATTGGATTGGAAATACTATGTCTATTAGTATATAAGTATCTGATTGTGTTCCTAGAGATTTATTTCAAGCTAGTGTTGAACAACTGAAATTAGCCTACCACAAGATTTAATTTTCATGGCAATGTCACCTTGCCCAGTATGACTCAGGAATTCATTATATCTTTTATAACAATAAAACTGTCAGAGATTACCTCAGAAACATGTTTTTTCTCCCCAAAAGTGACTAGGCAACAAAACTGAAAAACTCAATAAACTGTCAAAGATAAAGTTGGGAGACAAGCCATAAAACACCATTAAAAACAGCCAAGAGCAATTAAGTCAGAGTCCAAAACAGATTCTGGAAACTGTCCAGGAATCAAACATCAAAGAGCTAAGAGGAGCCTGGCAACAAGATCAGAGGCCAATTCACAGGAATTATCTCAGCACAGACTGTTTGATATTTATGGTTTTTAAAGCCAAAACTTCTGGTATCTAGATCTTGGTTGCTGCCAATCAAAATCCTCTAGAGATAATTCTTCTTTGTACATTGAATCTAACTTTCAAGTAAGCTTTTATTTGACTTTTCCCCAGGACCATTTCTAGGTCTCAGTGGGCAGTTTTGATGTTGATCCTGAACATATACTTACCTCTATATCCTGGGATTGAGGAATAGTTGAAATGAATCTGGAACAAGTGAAGAACCCTTACTCACAGAATGACTGAGTTTGAGGTTGTGAATGATTCTTGTATCCAATGAGGATTTTCTCTCAAAATTCATTTATTCGGATCTTTTTTATGCTACTTGTTTAGGTTTCCTTATAGACATACAGAGAGAGAGATCCTGGCACAATGAACACTTCTCTTCACATTCTATGGATATTTTCTTATTTTAACTACTTAACAGTAATTGTGGGAGGCTGTTAACAACAATACAAACTTTGCATGTTTGCTTTTTATTTAAGTGTCTTTTTAAACATCATTCATTTATTACTTAATTTTTAAATATTACTATTTTTCTTTGTCAGTTATTATGAAATGTGGAAAGATGGTGAATATTTTTACTCCATAACTACAATAAGTTTTAAAAAATGCAGTTCCTGCCTTCCATTGTTTTCACTAATATTCCAGAATTAGGGCTTTTCTGCATTTAGGAATTGTTATTTGATTTGAGTATCTTGCTAGCTTGAAGAAAAGGGGTGTGTGACTACCCTGGAACACATCTATGAAGTGAATCTGAACTCAATAAAGCCACAAATAGCACAGATCCTAGTCTAAAAATACAGTTTTCAACCAGATAGCACAAAATAAGAGTGCGGTCTAAAATCAAGCTTTCAAGCAAATACCAGTTCTCTTTTTTGATTATGTGTCATCAAGGTAATGTCAACTCTTAATGAGCACATAGGCAGACACTCTCTACATGATTTGTCTCCAGCTTGCCCTTCAAATCTTTCAACAGTGAGAACTATCCAAGCTAATCTCCATTCCTTTGGAATCAGTGCCCTTCTATTTATAATTTAATTTAATGTCAATAGGGGAATTACAGGAGGCACCCACTAATCCAGATTATTCCAAGTAGTTTTTTGAGGAGTCAACTATATTCTATATGGGCAATAGCAACAATGATATGCATCAGAGTTTATGTTCCGTAATGCAATGTTTCTAAATGTTTAAGAAAACATTGTTCATTTTATCCTCATTGCACCAAGCATGTATGCACTCAAGGCTCCTGCACCCTAAAGACCTCTTGGTCTATGTACTATGGAGGTTATTCATGTTCCAGTATATGAGTTAACTTACATGGGCTATAAAAAGGACTGAACAGCCCCAGGAGTGCAAATGCTTCTATTCACTGCAATAGAATTCACTATTCTATTTACATACCCCTTTAAACGTCCATTGCACTTCAATATTACAACTGTATATCTGAATTATAATGAGATTTCAGGATATCAGTTATAGCACATAACAAAAAGGGGAACAAAAAGGACTGTATCTGCATATATTCTCCCATTTCTGCATAAAAAGATCAGAACTCCCAATTTCCTTTGATCTTTTCCAGAATTTCAAGGAATCTTTTCTGTAACCATAAACATCTCCTTACCTTCTTCTGTATGAACTGCCTGCTGTTCTTTCAGCACTTCTGGTTCCTGGCTGAGCTCCATATGCTCTTTGGTAATTTCATTAATGCTGGATATCTGTCCATTTTTATGTAAAATCTATATTGAGAAATGAAATACAAGAAGGAAAACGGAGAGGAAAAACAACTGTCAATATGTATCAATCCTTTAATTACTTTTTCTAATAGAAAGAGAATGTATTTTAGAATATGTCTTTTACCGTTTGGAAATAATAAAATGTACTTCTGTGGCAGTTGACTTGATTGCAATTTCACATCAGTTTTTCAAACCAGATGCTTCCAAATCAATTTGACAACTTGGAAAAACTTCTATACATGTGGTAGCACTTTTTAAAAAATTGATTCATCAACTGAAGTATGAAATCAGATTAGTTCTAAACTGAATTGACTGTTGGAATCAGAACTGATCTGTATCAAAAAAATATTCACACACACTATATAAATACTAATCTTACGCACACACACATACAAACAAAAAAATCATTTTAATAAAAGCTTAAAAGAGAACATAAAAACTAACACAAACTAATTACTAGTATTAGCTTTATCAAAATGTACCCTTTCTAGCCATGAACAGTGTGTTAACAGATGCAAAAATAAAAGCCCAATCAGAAGCAGAAAGACTCAAAAGATGATATATTTCTCTGAAACAGAGGACAGTAAATTAACTCAGTTATATGATGTACTTCTTATTTTATTTATTTGCACCCTGCCTTTATTATTTTTACAAATAACTCAAGGTGGTAAACATATCCAACACTCCTTCCTCCTATTTTCCCCACAATAAGAACTCTGTGAGGTGAGTTAGGCTGAGAGTTACTGGCTCAAAATCACCCAGCTGGCTTTCACGCCTAAGGCGAGACTAGAACTCACTACCTCCTGCTTTCTAGCCTGGTGCCTCTTGCAGATGTTCGCTTTAGCTATTGTTACAGAAGTTCTTGCCAAACTGAAAAGGAATGAGCTGTTCTGAAATTTGCCTGCTTCCTCCATTTGTTCGGATGACATCTCAGTCCTAACTCTAACACCCTCTTCTAAGCAATGCTCTTTTCCTGGTGCTGACAATAATTCCAACTGTTTTTGTCTCAGACAGTTCTTCCCACTGCTCTAAAGTATGTTAATTTTTAATGGTCTGTGTGTAAAACACTTCAGCTACTTTAGTTACTTCAGAGCACATCTCTCCCTCAAATGCCAGACATTCCAGCAAAAGACTGTATCCTATTTGTTTAGCTAAAACTGCCTCTTACCAGACTTAAAAGAAAAAGAAACCTCACCATAAATCAACCAATAATCCTTAAATGCCAACAGAACCTGAATATCCATAGTCATACTTTTTAATTTTAAAAGTATTTATTCATTAAATTTCTAGTTAATGTTTTTCTAAAGAGAACAACAGACATTCTTTAAAAACAAACACAGTAATAGCAATGGCAAGAAGAAATAAAAAGCACAAATGGACTAATGCAAAATGAGCAATCAAGTTATACAGATAACTTTTGGTAAGATCTGTATAAAAACAACAACAACAACAAAAAACAGAAAAGCCCTAAAGCTTGCTTTTCCTACAAAAACACACACTTTCATATTATGAGCACAAGGAGAGAAAAAAGACCCCACAATCCCATTTACAAAACAAGAATTTCAGCTTAAATTGTTTGAAAATCAGTCTAGTTCCAAAATTCATGGGCAAGATCTATACTTAAATTAGGAACATTCCTTTGAAATCAGTCATCTATATGTGTAAACAATTTTGCGAAATTAATTATTTAATTAATAGGAGGTCCTCTGTAATTGATAAACACAGTTGAATGAGCACTATATTTGCTCATTCAGTATTCAGTGTCTGCATCCTTTCACGAACAGAAGATCCTTTGGAAAGAGAAATTATTTCATTCAGTTCTTCATTTCATTTTCATCTCTGTGACCCCCCCATCCCCCAATAACCATCTCATTAATAGAAGTTAACACTTTTCATAAATAGAATCTAGAATTGGCCAATTATCAAAGCCTGGAGCCGGACCAGCCTACTGATGAATATGGATATGTCTCCTTCCATTTCTAATCACCGTCGTTCCCAACATTCTTCAGGACAGACTAAGGTCCATTCCAAAAATTCCATATGCGAGGCCCAAAGATATTAATGCTAATTTTGCCTTATAGTATTCAAACCTTCCATACTGGTCTTATTAGACATTCCTAAAATAAGATAGTTCCAGTTGTCTCAGTTGGATTAAAATATTTTTCTATGTTCTTAGATGACTCCGCAGCACAATGCATTATAACAGTTAAAATTCTTTCAGCAGGACTGTCCTAATCATTTCAAAGTAGATCATATCAATGCATTTTATTCTAATAGTATTTCCCCAGGAATGGCAGAAATAAAAATGACTAATAACAAATGACTATCATCATCTGAAACAATAAATCCCACAAGGATATCATTTTGGTCTTTTCAACGTAACATCTTTGAAAAACTAAGCATTTTGTAGAAGCCTCAAAAAATGCAACCAATCTACCAATATGACTATTAAGCCGCAACAAAAGCACTGCTTTTGGCCTACTGAGTAGACTGCTTTGTTTGCTACAGAAGGCTTTAGTTCAGTGGTTCTCAACCTTCCTAATGCCGCGACCCTTTAATACAGTTCCTCACGTTGTGGTGACCTCTAACCATAAAATTATTTTTGTTGCTACTCCATAACTGTAATTTTGCTACTGTTATGAATAGTAATGTAAATATCTGATATGCAGGGTATATTTTCATTGTTATGATTTGAACATAATTAAAGCATAGTGATTAATCACAAAAACAATATAGCAATGCTTGCTGGAGAAGCTTACTCTTCCTTGCTCAAAAATGTTGGGAGGGAGGGAAGGGGAAGGAAGGAAGGAAGATTGAAGGGGAAAGGAAGGAGATGGAGAAGGAAGGAGATTGAAGGGGGAAGGAAGGAAGAAGAGAGAGATTGAAGAGGAAGGGATGGAGATGGAGATGGAAGAAAGGAAGGAAGATTGAAGGGGAAAGGAAGGAGATGGAGAAGGAAGGAGATTGAAGGGGAAGGAAGGAAGAAGAGAGAGATTGAAGGGGAAAGGATGGAGATGGAGATGGATGGAAGGAAGGAAGATTAAAGAGGAAAGGAAGGAGATGGAGAAGGAAGGAGATTGAAGGGGGAAGGAAGGAAGGAAGGAAGGAAGGAGAGATTGAAGGGGAAGGGATGGAGTTGGAGATGGAAGGAAGATTGAAGGGGAAAGGAAGGAGATGGAGAAGGAAGGAGATTGAAGGGGGGAGGCGCTGCCAAGGACGCACAAGCAGCTCCACACAATTGCCTGGGGAGGGGGGGAGGTTCTGGCAGAGAGCCTGGCAGAGAGCCTAGTGGCGGCACATCCATGACCTCGGAAGCTGCACAGAGGATCTGCGCACCTCGGAGCCGCCGGCCGCCCTCTCACACCTGCCAACCTGCAGCCCCCCATCCTCATCCCAGCACCTCTTGCCCTTTCCCAGCCGCCCCCCAGGGACCTGCCCGCCCCTCCAGCCTCCTGCATGCCATCTCAGCAGCGGAGTCGCGGGAGCCCCTTTCCATGCCATGCAGCCCATTGCACGCCAGAGGGGCATAGCCGGAGCGCCAGCTCCTGCTTGGAAGGGGCCACTTCTCCCTTCCTGGCCTGGCCGGCTGGCCTCCAACGCACCCCCTGGATGCTTCTGAGGCCCGTAGCCCGGCGAGCCAGGAAGGAACTGCTCCTGCCCGGCAGCCCCATGGCCGCGCCAGGTGCCAGAGGGCCAAGGCGGCCTCCGATGGCGAGGGAGGTGGGCCAGGCGGCGCAGGGCAGGCTCCCGCGTGGTGCGGAGGGCGGCCGGGGGCGGAGCACGGCCGGGCAACCAGGAGGCGTGGAGACCGGCTCAGCACTGCAGCTCAGCTCAGCTGGCAGTGGCAGCAGTGGCGGAGCAGCCCAGCAGCAGCGCCAGCAGCAGCTCAGACCTGGCTCGACCTGGCCGCCCACACAGCTGAGCCAGCCCAGGGCGGCGTCGGGGGCACGTGCGATGGCGCTGCAGAGGCAGGAGCAGGCGTTGTCAGAGAAGGGCGCCTTGGAGGCAGAGGAGCCGGTGGAGGGCAGTGGTGGTGGCCGGATAGAGGAGCGGTGTCTTGGTTCCTAAGGCCATTGGAAATATGTGTTTTCCGATGGTCTTAGGTGACCCCTGTGAAAGTGTCGTTCGACCCCCAAAAGGGTCATGACCCACAGGTTGAGAACTGCTGCTTTAGTTAGACAAGTAAATAGTTAGATAAAGAATGAAGCAGGAATGGGACAGAAAGCAGAGGTGCATTTTATACTCTCAAACCTCTCTGATGGTAAATTGGGTATTCTATTTAAATATTCCCACAAAATACTTAAGCAAGGTTAATCCTGTGAAACAGAAACTTCTACTACCCAGCTTCAGGTAAGTCATTCCACTGAGCACTAAGCAGCTATTAAGCACTAAGCAGCTATTAAGAATGGATGGGCTTGATGTGCAATGTCCAGGCTTTAGCAACACTTCTTAATATATGAATAGATAAGACTAGAAGAAAAATCCCTTTAAATTCTTATTTCATTATTAGGTTTGCTGTCTGATACAAATATATACCGGTAGTAGGAAGACTACTGAATACAGCAGCTCTATTTAGTTATTTTTTTAAAAAAAAACAATGCAAAATAAGTCTTTAAACTGGAATGTTTGAATTTTTATGTGATTTGTGGGGAGCTTGTTTATTCTTTTCAGGACGTTCAAGTCTCTGGTCAGAATTACATTTGTTTTAGAAGTTCTTCACAGATGCTGTTTTTCATATTCTCAAAAAGAAGGTGTTTTTATTAGCACCATCCTTTGAAGCAGAAAATCCTATATATAGGATAAATTATTTCTGTATCTACAAATGTAAGTATATATATATATATATACACACACATCTATATGTGTAACCCTTTCTGGTATCATTCAAAAGAGTTCCTGGTTTGCCTGTTCTTGGCACCTGCTTCTATTTCTGCCCAGGATCTCTGATCTTCCCATTAAAAGAAATTATTCAGTCTCCAGTGTCGGAAAGGGAGATGAAAATT